AGCAGAGTAGTGGACGCCCAGTTTTACAAATGGGCTAAATTGAGACAGGAAGTTTCTTGTGCAAGGTCTCAAATCCTGTCGAGATGGACACTTGGAATGGAATCCTACCATTCAGTCCACAGCCGGCGGCCTCCCTTGGGGTCCTCTTAGAAAATTGGCTGCTGCTCCCTTCCCCTTCCCCTCCACTATTCCTCATTTCAGATTGCACATTAAGCTGCTAAAACGATTCATTACATGTTCAGTAATTGAGAAGGATGTAATTACCAGCAACTATAAATACTGACACAAGTAAAACATACAAATGGAATCCAGATACCATGGCAATTTGAAACCCACCATTATCTATTAAAAATAATAAATACAAAAGCTCGGCAGTTTTTCGGCCTGTGACGTGTAGCATGGGGCCAATTCAGGATCTTGAGCTGAGTTGGGGTGGGGGGTAGTTGGGGCTGCTGGAGTTATTGTCACCGCTTCCAGTTTGATCATTTGCAATGTCAGGCTTTGATAACTTAAACATGGATTTCTACCAGACAAGTTACAGCATCGATGACCGGTCACAGCAGTCCTATGACTATGGAGGAAGGGATTGAGTGCGCTGCGCATTGCCATGGAGTGTCTGGCTGTGACTACTCGCAAGGTCCGTATGTCCCTCCAGACGTGATGCGGCCGCAGCAGCCATACGCCAGGCAGATTCCCAGCCAGCTCAGGCATATACTCCAACTGCTCCTCAGCCATTCCATGGAAACGGCTTTGAGGATGAACCACTTTTATTGGAAGAATTAGGTATCAATTTTGACCACATCTGGCAAAAAAAATACTAACAGTGTTACACCCATTAAAAGTAGCAGATGGCAGCATCGTGAATGAGGCCCATCTGGCAGGAACCATGGTGTTTTGCTTTGCCTTTGGAGTCATATTGTTACTGCCTGGCAAAATCCAGTTTGGTTATGTATATGGGATCAGTACAATTGAATGTCTAGGAATGCTTTATTAAACTTAATGAGTATGATAGGTATTTCATTTGGTTGTGTGGGAAGTGTCCTTAGATATTGTCTTCATCCGTGATCCTACTTTTCAGTGTCGTGGTGATATTTTCTTTGCAATAAATGGTAGGAATCATTCTCACTGCTGGAATTACTGGATGGTGTGGTTTTTCTCCAAACCTTTCATTTTTCTGCTTTCAAAATTTTTTATTTCTGCATTAGCCATGGAAGGAAAGCAACTTCCAATAGCATATCTCTGTGCTTTGTTATATGAAATCTTTGCCCTAATTTCCATTTTGTTTTTTTTAAATGTTTTTATTGATTTTAGAGAGAAGGGAGGGAGGGAGGGAACGAGGGAGAGAGGGAGGGAAAGAGGGAAGGAGGGAGGGAGGGAGGGAGGGACATTGATGTGAGAGAAATATCGATCAGTTGCCTCCCATACGCAACCCAACCAGGGATCAAACCCGCAACTGGGGCATGTGCCCTGACCAGGAAGGAATCCAACCAATGACCTTTTGGTGCACCTGACAATGCTCAACCAACTGCACCACACCAGCCAGGGCTTATTTCCATATTTTTGAACTGAATTTATCTGGGATGCAAACATAATTGGGCCAAATATACAAAAAGAACCTCAAACTCTTAAATAGGACAAGCAAACTGCTGCATTGCAACTCTCATGCAGATCTAACATTTGACTATTGGAACAGTGGAAGTAAAGATGTATCTTTTGTTCATTTTTATAGAACTTTTGAATACTACATTGGATTTACCTACAGATTCGCTTTAAGTGCTTGTGCTTACACAAATAAGAAATGCTATTTCTGTCCTGTTCCTGCAGCCTTTGAAAACCCTTTTACTTGCAAATTATACTGTTTTGACATATTTTTATCAACTGTGGAAACTAACTTCAGAGCTGATAATCTTTCTTTTTAAAAAATATGTTTTTACTGATTTCAGAGAGCAGAAGGGAGAGGGGGAGAGAGATAGAAACATCAATTGGCTGCCCCCCAAAGTAGGGATTCAGCCCGCAACTTGGGCATGTGCCCTGACCAGAATCGAACCAGCAATCGAACCATGTCCTGGTGCATGGGACAGCACTCAACCAACTGAACCACTCTGGCCAGGCTTATAATCTTTCTTAAAACAACCCAGTCATGACTGAAGTTTCCAATTCTTTCACTGAGTTAAGACCTACTCCTTTAAGTAGTAGTGTGGGTGTTTCTTCAGGAAACTTAACAGTCATTTTTATTTTTTTTCTTTCTTTAGATATCCCAGAAGAAACTGAAGAAACAAAAACTTATGGCTCGGGAGTAAATTAAGCATAAAGTAAATAGTAATAAAAGTAAAAGCAGAAAAACAAAACAAACAACCCAGTCATAATAAAGAAGATACAGACTTATTGCTGATATATTTTCCCAAGGAATTAGGGAAGAAAATCGCTTGTGTTCTCAAGTCAGATGCACTCAAGTCAAGCAAAAAAGTGATCCCAATGTAGAGTTTATGAGTTTACACTTAAAAAAATTTGACATCCCTTTAAATTACCTCATGGAATTTTTGCTAAAAGTCAGTGATACAGAAGTTCACAGTCTACCTTATTACAGACATGAAATGGCACTTGTTTCAGTATCGTTAACTAAACCATAGTGACCTAGACTGACCACATTAATGCTCATAGTTAGTTGGATCTCTATGTTTCCCAGAAAAAAAGAAAATCACTAACCTTTTTAGAGAAAACAAATTTAAATATCACAATTTCAGTATAGCGATTATCAATGTAAAGTGCATTTGATGCTTATTAAAATTTTTTCCAATTAATTAAAAAAGTAAACTCTTCTTTAAGAATCAGAAAATTTATATTATTCCTTTTTCTCCCTGAACTCTTATCTCCTCCATGTAATGTTTTTCATGCTTAAAAATCTTATTGATGCCAGCACCGGTTTGGCTCAGTGGATAGAGTGTCAGCATGCAGACTGAAGGGTCCCGGGTTCGATTCCGGTCAAGGGCATGTACCTTGGTTGCGGGCACATCCCCAGTGGGGAGTGTGCAGGAGGCAGCTGGTCGATGTTTCTCTCTCATCGATGTTTCTAACTCTCTATCCCTCTCCCTTCCTCTCTGTAAAAAATCAATAAAATATATTTTTTTAAAAAAATCATATTTATCACCCTATTATAAAAATGGAAATTACTTTTTCCTGATATAGGCTTTTTACTGGATTATTAAAATTATTAGTAGTACATCATTGATCAAAATAAAATAAATTACATTGATAAATACTTAATTATAAAAAGTAAAACTGTATCAGACATTCATCTCTTAAAGACTTGAATGGACTTTCTTCTTCCTCCCTCCCAATTAGTTCAGTTAGTATCTATAGAAGAATGCTAACTTTTTGCTGGACTAGACAAGGTTTAACATTGATTCTCTTCTGTTTTTCTCTTTTTAAAGCTGTAAGTGCTGAGAAACCACATTCATATAAGTAAATAGAATTGGAAGTTTTGTTAAAGGAGTCTCTCAATTCTTGTCTAGCTGTATGTCAAGAATCATATAGCAATTTATCACTAAAAATGGTCTCTAACCATTGAGTCTCTTGAAATTTCATTAAAAGCAAAACCTTGCAAACCATCTGACTTTCAAAAGGATTTGTCATTCAATCAAGATTCATTCAATATCTCAAAAACTATACATAATTTCAAGTTCCCTCTGTTTGATGGTTTTGGAAATGTTTACACACTGGAGTACTATGGAAGCTGAATATCTGCAAATATATTTAAAATTATCTCTACCTACCTTAACTTTTGAAATCCTCAAGAATGGTGAAAAAAAAAAGAAGCTAACCTAAGTAACTTTAAGAAATGGTATTTTGACTGGAATTGTAAAGCTAAAGACAATAAGAACAATACATAAAATCTATTATAGTTGGTATATTTGTTTCTCACAGGAGTATGGGTTAATAATTTAGAAACTGCTTTACATGTATACTGATGTTGAACAACTAACTGGATGGTGGATGGTACAAGCGAGGTTTCTTTATTCTTTCTTTCTTTTCTTTTCTTTTTAATTGATTTCAGAGAGGAAGGGAGAGGGAGAGAGAGATAGAAACATCAATGATGAGAGAGAATCATTGATCGGCTGCCTCCTGCACGCCCCCTACTGGGGATCGAGCCTGCAACCCATCTGATATGATGTGATGGGAAAAGCACTTCACTTCTATGATAATCTTCCCCCAAACCTTTAAGCTCAGTCTCATTATGAAAAAAACATCAGACAAACCCAATCTGAGGAACATCCTACAAAATGCCTAACCAGTACTCCTCAAAGATCTCAAGGTCCTGAGAAATAAGGAAAGACAGAGAGACTGTCAGAGACCAGAGGAGACTAAGGCTGACTAAATGTTGAAATAGAAATAAACTGTGAGGGGTGAAGTTCTGTACCAGTTTTTGTATGTTAAGATAAAAACATGTTTAATTTTTTTTTTACAAAATATGTTTTTTATTGATTTGAGAGAGAGAGGGAGAGGGAGAGGGAGAGAAACAGTGATGACAGGGAAACATCAATCGGCCTCGTCCTACATGCCCCCTACTGGGGACCAAGCCTGCAATCCAGGCATGTGCCCTGACAGGGAATCAAATCAGGATCTCTCCGTGCATGGGATGACACTCAACCAACTGAGCCACATGGGTCAGGGCAAAATGTTTAAATCAGATGTATGTATTCCATATTTCAGCAGAACCTTAATAATGATCCTACTGTAGTTTCACTATCTTTTTCCTCCTGTTCTTCACTTGAGCATTGTTCCCTATACCAGGTCAGGCATATGCTGTTCCTACACTTGCCCCTGTGGAATCCCCAGAGAAGAAGCTGTTTCTTCTTTAGTAAAATATTTTTTAAAATATATTTTCATTGATTTCAGAGAGGAAGGGAGAAAGAGAGAGATCGAAACATCCATGATGAGAGAGAACCATTGATTGGCTGCCTCCTGCACACCACCAACTGGGGATCGAGCCCACAATCCAGGCATGTGCCCTTGACCAGAATCGAACCCGGGACCCTTCAGTCCACAGGCTAATGCTCTATCCACTGAGCCAACCCAGCCAGGGCTTTAGTAAAATATCCTTACCCCGCTAACTGATCATGGATTTAATGACAGGACCCAGCACAGTGTGTCATGGTGACCCATATATGTTGGGATCCTGCTCCTTCCATTAGTTCCACAATATTCTAATTTCTGATACTTTCCATATTGATTCCTCATCGTTGGCCCTATTCCTTTCTCCTGTACAGGACTGACAACTTCTGAAAAGATACGTAACCCTTTCCACTCCTCCCAGGGTGGATCATCTGAACTAGGTTCTTTTGTGTATCCTGTGAGGGGCTATATTTAAGGATAGACGGTAGTAAAGATCACGAAAGATCATTGATCACTACCAAGAGAGTCTTATTGAAAAATTGCACACATTATTATGTTATAATTAAATATATTTAGATCCTAAAATCTTTAGGAAATGTAAAAAGAGCTACATAGTAATAACAGAAATCATAACAATGCAAATAATAACATTATAGGTTGCTCTCATGCTCCATGGTCAGCATCCCTATGAGATAGGCATTATTAACCTCATGCTATAGTTAAGGAAATTCGGGCCCAAAGAGGTTAAGTAATTTCCCACAATCACACAAATAATGAGCATCCAATTTCTGTTCTATCTAACTGCAAAGCCTGAAGCTCACACCCATAATTCTACACCTTCTTCTTTGCGTTAAAAAACGCACAAGAATTGTAGATTTTTAAACAAATCAGGAACAATTTTAAATATCCACAGCACCCCTAGCCCATTCTGTTTCCAAGGGAAAATACACATTCCGTTAGCTAATATCGAAACATTAATTCCTCACTTTAAACATCTATTCAATGTGACTAAGGAACATTTCCTTGGGCATCAGTCACCAGATGCTCCTTGCCAGCCAGCTCGCTGCTTCAGTTCTGACACCCAATCAAAGTTGTTGTCTTCCTCCTCAAAGTCCCTGTGAAAAAATGATATGGATATTAAGCCTCCATGTTAGGGGTATGGCAAGTATTTGTTGATGGGTTCAAAGCAGAACAACACCATAACAATATTCACATTTTTAAAAAATGAGCTCCAAGGCAACTGAACACAGAAAAAAAATTGGTTAGTGCTTTCAAAAGAACACTTCTTTCACTCTTTCACTAATATTTTCAATAGAAAATATATTAAAAAACAATAAATCCAATCTGAACAATTTTAAACATTTGGCTCAGTCAGGAATTAGTAATTACCGTTATGCATTACCCACCTCAGATAAAAGATCAAGTTATAAATATTCATTTATGGTGTAAAATGATATAACCAGCTCCTGTTAAACCTGACATTATTAAGGTTAATTACACACACACACACACACACACACACACACACACACACCCCACAACTAAAGCTTTTTGGTACAGCACAACGTACGTGTCCTCCTCATCCAGTCTAGGCTCGAGTCTCTCTGGATCCAAAATGACAGAATCGTAACCTCCGTCAACACTGTCTGATGCTTCAGTTTCTTCAGACAGGGGACCTTTCAAGCAGAACCCTTCTGAACCTTCAGAGGAATATTAACAGAAATCATGTGGATTTAAACAGTATTTATTCATTTCCTCATATTGGACTAAAAGCCTCCAAAAGTTTGCTGGCTAGTTGAGGACAATCCCATGTTCTATATTTCTTCTGCAGTGCCTCCCGCCATTACCCAGCATGATTTCTGGCATAAAACAGGCCCAGTAAGCATCAGTATATATATTAACTTTAACAACACTATTTTCTTAGCCCTTGCCAGGTAGCTCAGTTGGGTAGAGCATCGTCCCACTACACCAAGGTTGCAGGTTCAAGCATGTGCCCATTTAGGGCACATACAAGAATCAACCAATGAAAGTATAAAGTGGAACAACAAATCAATATTTCTCTCTCTTTCTCTCTCTCAAATCTATAAATAAAAAAAATTTTTTTTAATGCTACTTTCACCCTACTGGGTTTGATTCTCAGTCAAGGCCATGTACCTGAGTTGCAGACTTAGTCCCCAGCCCCAGTCGAGAGGCAACCAATCAATGTGTCTCTTACACATCAATGTTTCTCTCTCTCTCTCTCTCTCTCTCTCTCTCTCTCCCCCCCCCCCCTTCCTTCCACTCTCTCTAAAAATCAATGGAAAAATATCCTTGGTGAGGATTAACAACAACAACAAAAATATTACTTTCTTCAAAATAAAATATTCAGAATATAATTAAACCCTCAAATATAACAACTTATATTAAAGCATTAAAAGTTATCCTTGGGTAGTCAGATTATAGTTTTTACTGTGATGAAGTCTGAACTGTAAAGCCACCAGTATACTTGCACAGAAAAAATGAGCTACTTTGAAAAGAAAGCAGTCACAAATAAGCAAACAACTGAGTAAATAGGAATAATATAGTTCTATGGGAAATTTTAATTATAGCTTAAGACTATCTAGAAAAGATTTAAGAAAACCTAAAACTATAATGCTATGTATGTGATTTCATAACTTGAAAATAAAAGGATTTCTGGGAGGTGAAAATGGGGAGTTATTGTTTAACTAGAGGCCTCATGCACAAAATTCATGCACAGGGGCGGGGTCCCCCTCAGCCCAGCCTGCACCCTCTCCATTCTGGGACCCCTTGGGGGATGTCTGACTGCCGGTTTAGGACAGTTGGACATCCCTCTCACAATCCTGGACCGCTGGCTCCTAATCGCTCACCTGCCTGTCTGCCTGCTTGCCCCTAACTGCCCCCTGCTGCCAACCAGGTCACCCCCAACTGCCCCCTCCCTGCTGGCTTTGTCGCTCCTAACTGCCCCCTCTGCCAGCCTGGTCACCCCTAACTGCCCCCCCTGCCGGCCTGGTTGCCCCCAACTGCCCCCCCCACCAGCTTAGTCACTCCTCACTGCCCCCCTGCCAGCCTAATTGCCCCCAACTGCCCCCCTTCTGGCTTGGTCACCCCCAACTGCCCCTCCCCCCCGCTGGCCTGGTCGCCCTATGAAGCCTGCTGTTCAGTCGTTTGGTCGTCCCTCACTAACCCCCCTGCTGGCCTGGTTGCCCTATGAAGCCTGCTGTTCAGTCGTTTGGTTGTCCCTCACTAACCCCCCTGCTGGCCTGGTCGTAGGCAGCCATCTTGTGAGGGTGTGCGGGTTAATTTGCATATTACCTCTTTATTATATAGGATGGGCACAGAGTTTCAGTTTTGGAAAATGGGAAAAGTTCTAGAGCTGGATGGTGGTGATGGCTGCACAACAATGTAAATGTATTTAATGCCCCTAACTGTACACTTAAAAATGGTCAAAATGGTAAATTTATGTAATGTCTATCTCACCACAATTAAAAAGAATGCCAAAGGGTTTCCATGATTACATAACAGACATAAATTACCTGGTCTATATATTGTGTATGTTTGAAATGCCAAGTTGAGATCAGCATTCTTAAGGATGTTCAACAAGGTTTCAGGAGTCTCTTTGAGCCACTGCTTACGGCTATTATTTCCACTGTACTTTATTACAGAACCACCTAGTTGTGAAAAGGTAAAAATTAGGGTCAAATAAAAAATATTTTTAGCACATTATCTTCCAGATCATATTTCAAGTAAAATTAATTATATTTTATTTTCTACTAAAATCTATTTCAGTCACGAATGACACCAAATAACCTTTACAGAAGGACATGTTTAAAAAATATCTAGCCCATTAAACAACTATTAGAAAATGTTCCATAATAATAGTAATCTGGCTACTAACCTCTATCATCCTCTGTGGTTAAACTGGAGGCAAGTATGGATGCATTTTCCAAAGCTGCAAGCGCTGTAGTGCACACATGTTTCTCCCACTGTCGCCTGAGAGGACTTGGTGAACCAGCTTTCCTATGATGGACTGATTTACCATGTGGTTTTAAATTGTAAAAAAGGACTGCTGAGCATATTCTTTTTATTTATTTACCTATTTCTAGACATGTCTTTCTCTAACAATAAACAGAAATATTTCTTTTTTCTTTCAAACTCAGATCTAACATGTTCTTCAAGTCTAGGTAGTAAAGGAAATGAAAAAAATCCAGATGAAAAAACAAAACAAATCATTAAGGTGAATTTAAAAAAATAATATGTATATATTTATATATTATACTCTGTACAAGAATGAAGCCCTGAGAAGACTTAGATACACACTGAATGCCATGCTTTTTATGGTGGAGAGCATAACAAATATTAGTTTTTCTAAAGGCTCTTATCCTATACTAGAGACCCGATGCACAAAATTCATGCAGAGTAGGCCTTCCTTCCCCCAGCTGCCGGCACCAGCTTCCCTCTGGCACCTGGGACCCGGGCTTCCCTCCAGCACCGGGACCTGGGCTTCCCTTGCAGCCCCGGCTTCATCCAGAAGGTTGTCTGGAAGGATGTCGGTCTAATTAGCATATTACGCTTTTATTATTATAGATAATAAAAGGCTAATGTGCAAATCGACCAAACAGTGGAATGACTGTTCCCTATGATGCACACTGACCATGAGGGGGCAGACACTCAACGCAGGAGCTGCCCCTGGTGGTCAGGGCGTTCCCACAAGGGGAGCGCCACTCAGCCAGAAGCCAGGCTCATGGCTGGCGAGCACAGTGGTGGTGGCAGGAGCCTCTCCCGCCTCTGCGGCAGCGCTAAGGATGTCCGACTGCTGGCTTAGGCTCACTCCCCATGGGAGCTCCCGGACTTTGAGAGGGCACAGGCTGGGCTGAGGGATTCCCCCTCCCCCCAAGTGCACGAATTTCATGCACCGGGCCTCTAGTTAATAAATACTATTCTCTCTTTTTTTATGGATAAATAAGACACTTTTGAAATAAATTACTGGATTAGCAAATACAAATCTGCATGTGTCCACTTGTTTGAAACCTATGACCTAGTAATGCAAAAACTGGTCCCCCTTCTACTAGTATATTTCCCAGTCCCTGACTTACACAATGATCAGAATGTGAATAACTTACCTTTCTCTTCTCTGTTTACTCTCCTCGGTGCACTTGCCACTGAATTTTTATTAGTGCTTTCTAAATCAGGGTGGCTACATTTTCTGCCTTGTTCTTCCCCTTGCTTAAAGGAGATTAAAAATTCAGATTAGTTAAAAAAAATTCAGATTAAACAATGCTTGAATTGCTATAAAAAGGTAAATAAACAACTATACAAAGTCAGCTATTTTAATTTTAAATAAACATTAATGAATTAAAGACATTAATAATTATAGAACCCTACACACCAGATTATATTAAAAATAATATACATCCATATATGTATATTAAGTCAGGCACTACTAGCTATTAATATCATTCATTACAAATATAAAGAGGATATATAAAATGACAGGTATTTGAGATCTTTTTTTAAAGTCCTTTTTAAAAAATGTTTTTTATTTTTTAGAGAGATAGAGAAACATCGACTGGTTGCCTGCACCCCAACCAGAGACAGACCCGCAAACTGGGCATATGCCCTGATCAGGAATCAAACCGGCAACCTTTTGGTGCACAGAATGAGCCATTCTGGCCAGGGTTTGAGAGGTCTTTGTAGAGGAAATAAGTAATAAAAAATTTTTAATATGGTTTGCTATATTGGGCTTTTCATGCTGGAAATACCAAAATGAGATATTTTTATAAAGTTGCTACATATGGCCAAAATGTTCCCATTTAATTCAGTATTTTTCCAAATTACCTAAGCTCTTGATTTCATGAAGCAACACACTAGCTAGTCTTTAAATCTGAATGTATTTTGAGAAGAAATACATATCCAGTGCCTTGACAGTCTCCAAAACACAGGTTCTCAATGATTTGTTGAATGAGTCAATAAATTAAAAGTAGGCTGTAGCTGACACCTTATTTTATTTCTGTACAATGGTTCCCAAACTTGTCTCCCCACACATCTAGGGGGTATGATTTCAAAGGTCCCTCCCATAGACAAAGATGTCAAAATCTTGGGAGGTGGTTGTGATGAGCGGTTTTTAAAAGCTGCCAGGGATTCCCATCTTCCATCTCTACTGAGAGTCACTGCCCAATAGACAGCAGCGTCTAACACCACTCCTGGCCCAGCAACACTCAGCTCTGCCTACATGCCCACCTCACCTTGTGGCCTATCCAGGGCTCTCTTTCTCCCTCAATTTTTCTGTTACTTGACTTACTTTATGGCTCTTTCTCCCTTTTCATTTTGTGAAAACACATCGACTTAACACCTACTCTAAGTGGTATTAAAATCACAGTGGTGGCTGCCTGGGATGAGAGCCAGGATCATTTATAAAGGGCCACAAGAAAGCTTTTTTAGGGACATGGGATTTCTTTACCTTGACTGTGGTGGTTGTTATATGACTGTATAAAATTACCAACATTCATCAAACTACATGCAAAAAGTAAGTAAATTTTATTGCATGCAAATTATGCCTCAATAAAGCTGGAAAGAATAGATATTACCATGCAGAGGGGAAAAAAGTACAGAGGCAGGATTTATTCCATGTGTAGCAACATAATGGTGGGATGTTGTTATTATTTACAATCTAAGGTTCATTAAAAAAATTTATAAGTTTACTTATTAGCACATTCCATAAATAGAATAATTTGTTATTAGTACATCTTTTCCTTTTTGAGTTAAAAAGATTAAAATGCTGAAGAAAGAAAAACATTATCAGCAGGACACAATTTACTGAGAGGGCTGTGACAATACTAGGAAGTGAATCGGCTGTTGCTATGCAAGACTTTACTGCAGCTTTCCTGTAAAAGCTGCCTAGGGCTAAACAAGACAAACAGAACCTTAAATGCCAGGCTGAAAAATGTTGCCTTGGTTCATGGGATAATAAGGAGGTACTAAAAGGTTTTTAACAGAAAAATGTGCATATCAAAATAATGATCTAAATAAAAAAGAAAAATTCTGACACATGCTATAACATGGGTGAACCTAAAAAATATGGCCCAGCCGGTGTGGCTCAGTGGTTGAGCGTTGACCTATAAATCAGGAAGTGACAGTTCAATTCCTGGACGGGACACATGTCTGGGTTTCGGGCTCCATCCCCAGTAGGGGCATGCAAGAGGCAGCCAATCAATGATTCTCTTTCATCATTGATGTTTCTATCTCTCTCTCCCTTTCTCTCTCTGAAATCAATAAAAACATATTTCTTTTAAAAGGTACCAACAGTTACTTAAAAATATACATATTATGCTAAGCAAAAGAAGCCAGACATAAAAGGACAAATCTTGTACGATTCCACTTACATGAAATATCTAGAATAGGCAAATTATGTCAGAGAGACAGAAAGTAGAACAGAGGTTCCCAGGGACTGGGGTGGGCATGGGGGTGAGGAAGGAATGGGGAGTTATTATTTAATAAGTACAGAGTTTCTGTTTGGAATGAAAAAGTATTGAAAACAGATAGTGCTGCTAAATTTTGTGAATGTAATTAATGCAACTGAATTGTATTTGTAAAAGTGACCGAAATAGTAAACTTTATGTTATAAATATATTTTGCCACAATAAAAAACAAACCAAAAGTCAGGCTAAAACAAGATTTTCATGACTTAAGCTAGACAAAGTTCTCTCACATCCATACTGGAACCACTTGTCATCAATAATTAAAAATGAAAAAACAAACAAAATAAATGGTAATTTAAAGTGGCTCAGCTGGCAATAGTACAGGACAATAGCTACCAATTGCTTCACATGCCAAAAGATGACAAATTATTAAACTGGAGGGACCAGGTCAGTCTTCCAAATATTCCACAGTATCTAATGATACCAGGTATCCAGGAAATGGTTGTTTCATAAATTTAATTTTAAAGCACTTACCACTGTGCTTGCTTCTTTTTCCAAAGCGATCTTGATTCTGCTGGAGTCTGCTTAAAGAGAAAAAAGAAAAAGAGAAAGCACATAAAGGCTCACATTACTAGCTCCTAATGTGATATGCATAAAGCCTGAGACAAATTAAGTTTTTAAAGTCAAACAACCAAAGCATTAGCCTGATTGGTGATTAACAAGCTTTAGCCATCTAGTAATACATCTCACCTGCTTTTTGCTGTTTTATTCCTAAAGGTGACATCTGAAAGTTGACATCTATATTTAGTTAAGCCAACCCATTTAATCACGAAGAGGTAAGATACTCTGCATACTCAGAAGGTCATTATCACCTTCAGTCCAAGCTAGCTATAGTCTGTGCTTTTGCCCACAGCTGTGGTAGCAGGTGGAATAGGTGTCCTTCACCAGGGACCAGCAGCCGGAGAGAGCACTCTGGCAACTGATCCCTTTGGTAAGGATGGTGCCTTCCTGATTTTCCTCTGACAGAGGCCAGCAGTCCATGTTCCTCATTCATTCAACCTTTTAAAGACTTGATATTGAGCATCTACTGTATAATGACAGGCACTGAGGATACAACAATGAGGAAATGAGACATGGTCCCTGCCCTCACAGATCTTTCACTGTTTTAGTCTATCTACAGAATAGATGGGAGATACCACTAGACATATGGCCCCAACGTGGTGGTACCTCTCTGCTGGCTTAGTTCTCTCTTTTTAGGAATTGTAAAACTACATTTTACCAAACTATCTTGAAACTTTTCTTTGACTATTTTTGTTGTGGTTGTTGCCCATCATTTTATTTTATTTTATTTACTAGAGACCCAGTGCATGAAAATTCATGCACTGGAGGGGGTCCCTCAGCTTGGCCTGCCCCCTCTCACAGTCCAGGAGCCCTCAGGGGTGGGAGGTGACTCAGCGATCAGGGGACGGCAACACCCCCTATCACACCTCTGCTGCTGCCACTGCTGGCAGCACAAGCCTCAGCCGGCCCTGGTTACCTGAGCCTTGGGTGGCCCTGGGCGGCTGGGCAGCTGTCATCCAAGGCTTGCCTGCACCTCAGGCCGGCCCTGGGCTGCTGGGGGGCTGAGGGAACTGGGGGACTCCAGAGACAGACACGCGGAGTGGCCCAGCCTTGCCACACACCTGCCGCCCCAGTGGGGCTGAGGGGACTGGGTGCTGCCATCTTCTGGTTTTGGGAGCCGCCATCTTAGAGGGCTGGGCAGTTAATTAGCATATTCCCTCCTTATTGGCTGTGGGCACCGCCATCTTTGAGGGCTGGGCAGTTAATTAGCATATTCCCTCCTTATTGGCTGTGAGCACTGCCATCTTTGCGACAACATAAGGGTCAATTAGCATATTCCCTCTTTATTAGATAGGATTTTTTTAATTTACTAAATTTTTTTTGGTGAAATATATTTTCATTGATTTCAGAGAGGAAGGGAGAGGGAGAGAGAAACAGAAACATCAATGATGTGAGAGAATCATTGACTGGCTGCCTCCTGCACACCCCACATTGGGGATCAAGCTCACAACCCAGGCATGTGCCCTGACCAGGAATTGAACCATGACCTCCTGGTTCATAGGTCCATGTTCAACCACTGAGTCATGCCAGCCAGGCAGCCCAGCATTTTAAAACGAATTTCCTACTACCCTGGGATGTGAACAAAAGCTACAAAACAGTACCTAAAGTAAAATTAACTGAAACTGCTGAAGCAAAAGTAAGTGGCTACCTCTTAAGTAATGGTGAAAAGGCTGAATTATAAGGCTGAAGGTTTACATCACTAGAAGGGTTTATATCCTTACAAAAATAACATTTAAAATTTAACTTTAAGAAAACAGTATAGTTTCCAAAGTCTTTCTTTTGCAGTATCTAACACTAAGATAACACGCATCAAATAGTGGACATTTCGCAGCATGTCCTGTCCTTATAGTGGATGACCTGATGCTTAACTCTTCTCTCTTACTCTGGTCAGATCTATTATCTTTGTTGGATCTTTTCAGGAGGAAGATCTGAGTTACTAGCGACAAATGAAAAAAATGGCTTTGAAAAAATTAAGAGATGACAACTTTCAAAGGGACAATAAATTATATTTAAAATCTGCTCAGGATTTACTATAGATGTATGAAATTTTTGAGCAGCTATTATGTAAACAGTTCCAACTTTTGTACAGCTTTTTTTGTTTGTTTGATTTTTAAATATATTGTTATTGATTTCAGAGAGGAAGGGGAGGGAGAGAGAAACAAACATCAATGATGAGAGAGTCACTGATTGGCTGCCTCCTGCATGCCCCCTACTGGGGAATCAAACCTGGGAATCAAACTGTGACCTCCTGGTTCATTGGTAGATGCTCAACCACGTAACCACACTGGCCAGGCTGTAAACCCTTGTTTTTAAAATTTTGTTTACAAGATGGTTCTTTGGGATATAATTTCTGATAAGATTAACATTATATTTTCATAGTTAAATTCCTAGGCTATCCATCCCACAGAAGCTTTCTACCTTACCCAAAACAAACCAGACTAAGTATGGTACCAATGATAAAACAGAAAACAATCTTCACATCACTAAAATCTCCAAACTAAGCTTTTGGATCCCTGGCAAATTAAATATATAAGATTCAGTACAGAATTATGTCTTAAGTAACAGAAAGAAAATTTTGATCTGAGGAGTATCTCTGAAAAACATCTCTAATAACTTGAAGATTTCATTTTTCTTTTTTGTTACACTACATTTAGAAAGCACACTTGACAAAAAAATAAGCTTTCTTAAATTCTTACCCTTTTTTCTTGGTGTACTATGCTTAGATTTTTTGGTTTCTTCTAATACCTGCTCTCCAAATTCTGTGATGATCTAAAAATTTAAAGCAGAGAATTTAAAAATATACACTACCCTTTTTTTTAGACACTGTCATATCATTTAATTATCAGCATTCTTCCCCAAAATAATATTGAACATTGAAAAGTAAAAATGCTGTTTAAAACATATATAATTTAGACACACAGACAAACAGACACTTATATATGTCTAGAAAAAGATTTGGGCCCTGGCCAGGTAGCTCAGTTGATTACAGTGTCATCCTGAGGTGCCAAGGTTTCAGCTTGGATCTCCAGTCAGGGCACAAGCAGGAAGCAACCAATGAATGCATAAGTAAGTAGCACAACAAATCGACGTTTCTCTCTCTCTCTCTCTCTCTCTCTCTCCTTCTTTTCCTCTCTCTAAAGATAAATAAAGATAAAGAAAGAAAAAGATCTGAAAGGATATACAAAACTATACCTGTGATTACCCTTGGGAACCAGCATTATGGAAGGGGAAGAGGAGGGAAAGGAAGTTTTAACTTTTAATTTTTTTTATGCACATCTACATTTGAGTTTTTACAAGCATGTATTCGTGTTTAAATATAACAAACATTTGAAAACTATGCAGAGTCAACTCAACACATTGCATACCTGTGGGGTTAAGCACTTCTGGACAAGCGGAGCTAAAATGCCTCTAGAGAGAAGCGTGGTAGCTGAGGGGCGATGGGAAGGATTCCTTTTAAACATCTGCTTGATTAGATGCTGAAGCTCGTAGGAATAATGAGATGGCAGTGGACTCACAGACCCCTGACATACTTTGAGGATAAGACTTTTCCAACTATTTGCCTGAAACTAAAAATAAAATTGAACTGTAAAAGCAGATGCAAGGAAGGAGAATGCAAATAAGAAAACACCAGCTGAAGTGAATTCATATGAATTATTTTAATTTTATAAATGTTATCTGCTGCCTGGTCATTTTTCTTCCTGAAGGTGTTCTTATGATACTATCCAAAATCTTACGGTGGTTCAGGAGAAAGTAATACACTTAAATGGTAAATAACAAAGAACTTCCCCATCTAGAGAAAGTCTTACCATCAATACCAGCCATGGGTACTTGATTACTTATAATCAATGTTTTTGCAGATATACATTTTAAATATATTTTTCAAAATCAAAGCAATACAGACATATGACTTTTTTAAAAAGTCAAATGACACTAAGGGCTTATATAAGTATTGTATTTGTTTGCTTTACTCCTCCCCAGAAATCCCCAGGCCTGCTTCCTGGCAAAATGTATTTTAGATGACTTTTCCAGTTTTAAACATCTACTGCAAAATCTCTTTCACCTTTCATGTCATCAAAGTAGCTTTTAAAATTTGACAATATCCCGGGCTGGATGGCTCAGTTGGTTGGAGCATCGTCCCATACACCAAAAGCTTATGGGTTCCATCCCCGGGGCTGGGCACATACGGGAAGCAACTGATCAATGTTCCTCTCTCATATTGATGTTTTTTTTTTCTCTCTCCCCCTTCCTGTCTCCCTAAAATCAATGAAAACTTATCCTCAGGTGAGGATTCAAAAAATTGACAATAGAGTAGGCTATAAAATGCCATAGCAGAAAAACATTTTTAAAGTTTTCATTGTATAATAAGTATATTATACAATGAAAACATTAGATTCAGCCTTAATGATACTCATGTAGAACATGTTGCGTTCTGCCTTGGATGTGCATTACCCTATTAATAAAATATACAAGTGCAGATAGAATAAAGGAAAAATCAACATGTAATAAAGGAAAAATTCAGGTAATAAAAAATAAGATTGACTCTGCTTTCCCTCAGGCTTCTTAACTATTTCACTATGTTTGTCTGCATTTTGTGAAGGCTTGAGAACTGCTTTTGCCTTAAAGCAGATGAGAGAACAAACTGTATGCCAAATATTCAGGGCACTATAGTCCTTAATAATTATTCTTGCTAGGAAAAACTAAGAACATATATATAAAAGTTTACAAAAAAGATAAAATCAGGGAAATAAAGAATATAATCATAAATAATATAATGGAATTTTAAAAGTAATTTTATTTGTATACAATAGTGGTTCTTCACTTGAGCCACACACTAGAATCACCATTTAAAAAATACTAATATCCTTGAACCTCTATGTTCATTGCAGTGTTATTTAGAACTAGTGGCCCAGTGCATGAAATTCGTGGGGAGGGGGGCGGGGGGGAGTGGGGGTAGGGGAAGATGTCCCGCAGCCCGGCCTGCTCCCTCTCCAATCTGGGACCCCTCGGGGGATGGCCGACTGCTGGTTTAGGCCCAATCCCCCTAAACCGGCAGTTGGACATCCCTCTCACAATTCAGGACTGCTGGCTCCTAACCGCTCACCTGCCTGCCTGCCTGCCTAATCACCCCTAACCATTCTGCCTGCCAGCCTGCTTGCTCCCAACTGTGCCCCCCTGCCAGCCTGCTTGCCCGCAACTGCCACCCCCCCACCAGCCTGATCACCTCCAATTGCCCTCCCCTCCTGGCCTGATCGCCCCTAACTGCCTCTGCCTCAGCCCCACAACCATGGCTTTGTCCGGAAGGATGTCTGGAAGGTCTCCCAGTCTAATTAGCATATTACCGTTTTATTAGTATAGACAGCCAAGATTTGGAAGCAGCCCAAGTGCCCACCAGTAGATGAGTGAATAAAACAGCTGTGGTACATTTACACAATGGAATACTACTCGACCATAAAAAAGAAAATCTCACCCTTTGTGACAGCATGGATGGAGCTGGAGAGTATTATGCTAAATGAAATAATCCAGTCAGAGAAAGACAAGTACCATATGATTTCACTCATATGTGGAGTCTAATGAACAAAATAAACTAACAAACAAAATAGAAACAGACTCATAGATAGAGAGAACAGACTGACAGCTGTCAGAGGGGAGAGGAGAGGGGGGCTGGGTGAAAAAGGTGAAGGGATTAAGCAAAAAACAAACAAAAACCTCATAGACAACAGTATATTGATTACAAGAGGGAAAGGGGGTAGGGGGAGGTAGGAGAAGGTAAAGGCGGGATAAATGGTGGTGGAAGGAGACTTGACTTGGGGCAGTGAAAATACAATATACAGATGATGTATTATAGAACTGTACCCCTGAAGCCTACATAATTTTATTAACTAACTAGAGGCCTGGTGTACGAATTTGTGCACCAGTGGGGTCCCTCGGCCTGGCCTGTGGGATCAAGTAGAAACCAGCTCTCCGACATCCTCTAAGGGGTCCCAGATTGAGAGAGGGTGCAGGCCAGGCTGAGGGATCCCACCCATGTACAACTGGGGTAGGGGAGGGACACAGGAGGTTGGTCAGCTGAGGAGGGACTGTGGGAGGGCTCCAGGGAGTGTCTGGCCCATCTTGCTCAGTCCTGATTGGCTGGACCACAGTAGCAAGCTAACCTACCAGTTGGAGCATCTGCCCCCTGGTGGTCAGTGCATGTCATAGCGACTAGTTGACCAGTCGACTGTCTGTCCCCTGGTGGTCAGTGCATGTCATAGCAAGCAGTTGAATGGCCTTAGCATATCATTAGCATATTATGCTTTCATTAGTTGAATGGATGACCAGACAACCAGACACTTAGCATAGTAGGCTTTTTTTAATAGGACTACAGGCCTGGTGCATGAAATTCATGCATGGGAGGAGGGATGTCCCTCAGCCCGGCCTGCACTCTCTCTAATCCGGGACCTGTTGGGGATGTCTAACTGCCGGGATTGGACCTAGACTGGCAGTTGGACATCCCTCTTGCAATCTGGGACCACTGGCTCCTAACCGCTCACCTGCCTGCCAGCCTGATCCCCCTAACTGCTCTCCCCTGCTGGCCTGATCCCCCTAACTGCACTCCTCTGCTGGCCTTGTCCCCCTAACTCAGGGGTGGGCAAACTTTTTGACTCGAGGGCCACAATGGGTTCTTAAACTGGACCGGAGGGCCGGAACAAAAGCATGGATGGAGTGTTTGTGTGAACTAATATAAATTCAAAGTAAACATCATTACATAAAAGGGTACGGTCTTTTTTTTTTTTAGTTTTATTCATTTCAAATGAGCCGGATCTGGCCCGCGGGCTGTAGTTTGCCCACGGCTGCCCTAACTGCTCTCCCCTGCTGGCCTAATCATCCTAACTGCTCTCCCCTGCCAGCCTGATCATCCTTTACTGCCTCTGCCTTGGCCCTGCCACCATGGCTTTGTCCAGAAGGACGTCCAGTCTAATTAGCATATTACCCTTTTATTAGTATAGATAGAGGCCTGGTGCACGGATTGGGGCCGCTGGTCTGCCCTGAAGGGGGTCTCGGGTCAGGATAGGGGTCCTCTTGGGGGTGGGGCCAGCCTGGGCAAGGGGCCTGGGATAGTTTGCAGGCCGGCCATGCCCGCATCGGAGTGGGGGTCCCCACTGGGGGCAGTGCCAGCCTGGGAGAGGGGCTGGGGCAATTTGCAGGCCGGCCATGCCACCATCGGGGTAGGGGGGTCTCTGTTGGGGGTGGGACCAGCCTGAGTGAGGGGCTGAGGGCCATTTGCAGGCTGGCCATGCCCCCATCGGGGTGAGGGTCTCCACTGGGGGCGGGGTGGGCCTGGACAAGGGGCTGATGGCCGTTTGCAGGCTGGCTGCACCCCCATCGGGGTGGGGGTCTCTGCTGGGGGCAGGCCGGCCTGGGTGAGGGGCTGAGGGCTGTTTGTAGGCTGGCCACACCACCCGCTGGGGGCAGGCCGGCCTGGGCAAAGGGCTGAGGGCCGTTTGCAGGCCATCCAAACCCCCATCGGGGTGCAGGTCTCCACCGGGGGTGGGGCCGGCCTGGGTGAGGAGCTGAGGGCTGGTTGCAGGCCATCCACACCTCCATCAGGGTGGGGGGGTCCCCACTTGGGAGCAAGAAGCTTGCGCGAGGGGCCTGAGGCAGTTTGCAGGCTGCCTAGCCCCGATGGGGTGGGGGTCCCTGCTGGGGGTGGGGTGGCCTAGGCCGGGGGACAGGGCAGCCTGGGTGAGGGCCTGGAGGCAGTTTGCAGGCCGGCAAGCCCCCAGCTTTGTCTGGAAGGACATCCAGAAGGTCTCCTGGTTTAATTAGCATATTATTCTTTTATTAGTATAGATGTCACCCCAATAAATTCAATTTAAAATAAAATAAAAATACTAATGCCCAGGATACCCTCAGAGACTTTAATTCAATTAGTCTGGTGTGGCCTAGGCATCAGTATTTTTTAAAGTTTCCCAAGTTGTTCTAATTATGCAGCTGGCATTATATTTAAGGAAGACAACCTCTCATTAACAGTGCACGCCTTCAGTCTGAGTTACTTTCATCTAGTGGTGATGAAGGATTTTTCTCAAATATTCACTCATAAGTCTACTTGCTCTCAAGCACATCTCTGAAAATGCTTGATAGAGCTAAGTTTTAATCTGTGCCGAAAGAACAGAATTTATTTCCTTACAAAGCTAAGACCTAATAGGGATAGGCTCTGTGTAATAAACAACTACTGAGCAAGCAGGGCAAGTTATTTAACACCTTTTTCTTAAATTATTTCTTAAAATATCTTGAAAAATATCTATATATATAAAAGCCTAATATGCTAAGTGTCCATTTGACTGTTCGACCAGTAGCTATGACGTGCACTGACCATCAGGGGGCAGATGCTGAACACAGGAGCTGCCCCCTGGTGGTCAGTGCGCTACCACAGCAGGAGCGCTGCTTAGCTGACTGACGAGTGCCAGACGCTGGGTTCACAGCTGGTAAGCGCAGCTGCGGCAGCGTGAGCCTCTCCTGCGGACACTTCCTCTGAACGCTCCTCTCGCATCCGGACTGGGACCAGGATCAGGACCGGCATCAAGACTGACGGGGCATGAGCCGGCGGCCGCTTCTCGGTCATGGGCGTGCCGGTATTGCCTTAGGACGAGCACGCAGAGACCGCAGCAGAGCAGCAGCAAGCCTACCAAGTGGTGGTGGCAGGCACAGCGGGGCCAGTATGAGCAGAAGCATCGCAGTGCCCGGCCCGTGCTTGGGTCCTCCTGCTGCCTGCCACTTCACGCGCTACTACATCCCTCAGGGGATGTCGGACTGCTGGTTTCAGCCCAGTCCCCACAGCTAGGCCAAGGGACCCCACTGGTGCACGAATCTATGCACCAGGCCTCCAGTCTATAATAATAAAAGTGTAATATGCTAATTAGACAGGATGTCCTTCTGGACGTTGTTCCGAACGACCTTCCGGATGAAGCCAGGACTGTGAAGGCCGAGGCAGCCACTGTGGCAGGCGGGGGCCAAGGCAGAGGAGGCAGCCACCACAGCGGCAGGGGCCAAGGCAGCCACTGCAGCAGCGGGGGCTGAGCCCTTTGCATGAATTTTGTGCATCAGGCCTCTAGGATAACATAATATTCTATTTTCTCATAATAATTCATTTAGAGAAGAAATTCACATAAATGAAATCTAAGGGCAAAAAGATAAGTATAAAAATGGCGCTGCCACTCTGGAAAACAGTTTGGTGGTTCCTTAAAAAGCTAAACTTACAATTTCCATATGACCCAGCAATTCCACTCCTAGGTATATACCCAACACAATTGGAAATATGGATTCTAATACATACTTGTACACTCATGTTCATAGCAGCAGTACTCACAACAGCCAAAAGGTGGAAAGAACCCAAATGTCCGTCAATAGATGAATGGAAAAATAAAATATGGTGTAAACATACAATGGAATATTATCCTATATAATAAAAGCCTAGTATGCAAATCGACCAAACAGTGGAACAACTGGTTGCTATGATGCGCACTGACCACCAGGGGGCAGACGCTCAATGCAGGAGATCCCCCCTGGTGGTCAGTGCGCTCCCACAGGGGGAGCGCTGCTCAGCCAGAAGTTAGGCTCACAGCTGGTGAGGGCAGTGGCAATGGTGGGAGCCTCTTCCACCTCCGCTGCAGGGGGGTGACAAGGAGCGAGGGGTTCCTGACTGCAAGAGCTCCATACTGCGAGAGGGATGTCCGCCTGCTGGCTTAGGCCCGATCCCTCAGTACACAAATCTCGTGCACTGGGCCTCTTGTCCAGTCATAAAAAGGAATGAAATCCTGACACATGCTGGATGAACCTTGAAAACTTCATGCTATATGTAGTAAGCCAGACATAAAAGAAAAAATTTTTGTATAATTCAACTTATATGTAATATTTAGAATATACAAATTCATAGAGAGAGGAAGTGGGTTAGAGGTTACCAAGGCTTAGGTGAGAGGCAATGGGAAGCTACTGTTTAATGGGTACAGCGTTTCTGTTTGGGGTGATAGAAAAGTTTTGCAAATAGATAGTAGTGATGGTTGCACAACATTGTGAAGTAATTAATGCCACTGAATTGTACAATTAAAAATAGTTAAAATGGTAAATTTTAGGTTATATATATTTTGCTCAAATACAAATTAAGAATAGCAAAAAAGGGAGGGTGGGAGGGAGGACAAGAGGGAGGGGAGGGAGAGAGAAAGAAGGGAGAGAGGGAAAGAAGGAGGGAGGTAGGGGAGCTAGATACAGAACTACAAAAACTAAATAATGGAAACTTCTACTAGTATATGCTACAAAAGTGACTCAAGGCAAAGATGATAGCAATGGAAACATGAAAACTTTCATAACGAATTCATCCTAGGGAAACAAACTGCCCACTGGACTTTGGCATATAACTTATGACTTGGCCAGATATGACAAAAGGCCACCTTTCCATTTTGCCCACCATACTTACCGGATGCTTCAGGGTACAGAGTTCATACAGAATGCATCCCAAGGACCAGATGTCACTAGAAACATAAAGAAGCAATGTGGGTTATGAGCTATCATATAAAAATATAGGTACTTCCCAATATTAAAAATGAAAAAATACCTTTAATAATAACAGATATTGCAAATAATTCCTATTAAAATGAAATATATGGTAATGTTTATGTAATACTTAGGTAGTTGCTCACAATAATCTCTCTGCTCCCCAACCTCTAGATTCTCCAAATCAGGGTGGTTCAGGTATCATTTCGGCAGTATTTGGTGAAAGAGAGAAACTTTGTGGACTCCCACCATCATAGTTGAAAGGAGGACTTTATTTTTTTTTTTTTAATATTTTATTGATTTTTTAAAGAGAGGAGGGGAGAGAGACAGAGAGTCAGAAACATCAATGAGAGAGAAATATCGATCAGCTGCCTCCTGCACATCTCCCACTGGGGATATGCCCGCAACCCAGGTACATGCCCTTAACCGGAATCGAACCCGGGACCCTTCAGTCCGCAGGCCGACGCTCTATCCATTGAGCCAAACCGGCTTCGGCGAAAGGAGGACTTTAGAAGTCATCCCGTACAGCTTACAACCAGACCATCTATGCACAACACCAGGCCTTGGATCTCGCCTCCTGATGGCCAGCAATCTGCCTCCGGCACAGTTTGTGGCCCTGTTGAATGGCTTTAGGGCTGTGGTCGGCAAACCATGGCTCGCAAGCCACATGCGGCTCTTTGGCCCCTTGACTGTGGCTCTCCCACAAAATACCACGTGGGGGCACGCACGTACAGTGCGATTGAAATGTCGTGGCCCATGCGCAGAAGTAGGTATTTTATGGAAGAGCTGGTATTTTGTGGAAGAGCCACACTCAAGGGGCCAAAGAGCCACATGTGGCTCGCGAACCACAGTTTGCCGAGCCGCAGTTTGCCAACCACTGCTCTAGGGGACCATTCACATCTTCTGGGGACTCTCCCCCAATCCCTTGTTAGCTCTACATTCCAAAACAAAGAGAGCAGGACTAGTTAATCCTCCCACAGAAGAGCTCTTCAAACAGAAAAGAGTTCTATAATTTGCTCTATACACTCACTCTTCTTCACCATTCTCACCTCCTAGTTGTCATCCTCCAGACTTTTTATAGATGATACTCTTTTTATTTAACTAATGGTTTTTAGCAGCTATTTCCCCCAAATTGTAATTTTGTAAAGTTTGAAATCTACAGAGAAGTTATAAAGGCCCACATCCTCCTCCCTCCTTTCCCATCCTGAACATCTGCCAGGTTTGTGGGCTGTTTCCCTCCTCCATCTATATCTCAAGCTCTTGAAAAAAAGTTGCTGATGTCACTCTACCCCCAAACACATGAGCATGTATCTCCTCAGAGCAAGGACACTCTCCCTCACGGCCAAGAAAGTTTACCTGAGTTCAATAATATTCTCAAAACCGAAAATTTCCCAGTTGTCCTGGTAACTCCCTTTAGAGCTGTTTTGTCGCCAATTCAGTCCATTTTACTCTTAAGGAACCTATTTAGTATGGATGATCATACCCTTTTCAGAAAGCAACTTGAAGGAAGGTAACAAGAGCCTTTAGGTGTTTCTACTTCTAGGAATCCATGCTGAGAATGTGACACAGAACAGTTTATACACAAAAGGCACATTAATCACAGCACTGTTCATGACATTGAAAATTGGAAAAAACACCCTGGCTCAGTTGGTTGGGCGTCATGCCGTGCACTGAAAGGCTGCTGGTTCAGCCCTAGTTGCAGGCTCAATCCCCAGTAGGGGGCATGCAGAAGGCACTGATTGATGTGCTCTCACATCGATATTTCTGTCTTCTCCCTTCCTCTCTCTTTAAAAATCAATAAACTATTCTTTTAAAAAAAAGAAAATTGGAAACAATAGAGGAATGTAAAGTAAATTTTGAAAGAGCCATGTATATAACTATTAAAAATATTTATAAAGAGTTTAAATATGGGATGAAATAAATATGATAAAAAGTGAAAAAAGCAAGATACCAAATTGTATACAGTGAACATAAACTAGGTTTGGGGGTGGGAAGGGAAATGGATGAAAAAAAATTCCAAAATGGTTTTAACAGCTGTGAAAAAGTGGGTAATTGCCATTTTCCTTTCTTGTACATCTCCATATTTCTAATACTCTCCCCCTACTCACTCATTCAGTGGGCACATATTACTTATATTCAGAAAAAGTTTTAGGTTTTAAATGATAAGGTCTTTATTCTATCTTCTTGTAATCAATTAACCTATCAGTCAAGTGCTCATTACCTAGTCTTGTAAATGTTAACTCAATGACATAATCCAGTGGTCCCTAAATTTTGCTGCACATTGGAATCATTTGGTGATCCTGGAAAAATTACTGAGGCCTGCTTCCCACCCCAGACATTCTCATTTAACTGGTATGATTGCAACTTGCACTTTGCAATTTTTAAAAGCGGAACAGCAAAGTTTAAGAACCAGTGATATAAGTCACACTGTCTCTAGAAATGACTAGCCTTTCTTTCAGTATTTACATTCAGCTCCTCTCAACTCTGATTATAGCAGTTAGAAAACTATGATTTTATGTATATTTAAAAAAACAACAACTTCATTTGTAGGCTACAATGCCTGTCACCAAACAGTCACCCTCGCACCAAATAAGTACATCACCTACCTTTTATTGTTATAAGGCATGTTTTCCCAAATTTCCGGGGGCACATAATAAGGTGTTCCCACATAAGTACAAGCAAATGCCATGGGACTAAAAACATAGAAAGGCAAAGAGTAAGTACAGAGCATTCCTGAATAATGGATGCTTTGATTGCTCTTACTATTATAGAATAGATATACATACTTGGAGAGAAGATGGGCGGATCCAAAATCTCCCAGTTTTACTTGTCCATTTTGGGTGAGGAAGATGTTCTGCATTAAAAAAGAAGAGCTCAGATTATGTCTTCCATCATTCAAACTTAAGGCAGAGGTCTCCAGAGAAGCTGTCTTTCAAAGCCTACTCACCAAGGAGATTAAGGGCAGAAATGCTGACAGCTGAGTACCCAAGGGGAACACAAAGACCAGAGAGCCTCTTGACTGCTACCCCCACTCCCCTCGGGCTTGGGAATTCAGGCTGACTGCTTAGAAATCCAACAGCCATGCTCCAGGCTATCTCAGCAGACCTGACTGACACGACTGGGAACCTGTGTCAGCATAACTCCAAGTGGCACAACCAGATCTCAGTCATCTTCCATCTTGAGAAAGCAGTCACCAGAGAGCTTGAAACTTATTAACATACTAGAGGCCTGGTGCACGAATTTGATCAGGGCCCCTGGGCCTGGCCAGCAATCAGGGACGATCCAGACCACGGGAGATTGGTAGCCCCAATCAGGGCCATTGGGCCTGCTGGATTGGAGGGGAGGGGCCGTGGGAAGTTGGCCAGCCAGGGGCAGGGGCCACAGGAGTTTGTTGGCTGGGGGGAGGGGCCACGGGAGGTTGGCAATGGGAGCGCACTGACCACCAGAGGGCAGCTCCTGTGGTGAGCATCTGCCCCTGGTGCTCAGTGCATGTCATAGCGACCAGTCAACTGGTTATTCGGTCACTTGGGCTTTAATATATATAGACTAGAGGCCCAGTGCACGAAATTTGTGCACGGGGCGGGGGGTAGTGTGTGTCCCTCAGCCCAGCCTGCACCCTCTCCAATCTGGGATCCCTCTCACAATCCAGGACTGTTGGCTCCCAACCGCTCGCCTGCCTTCCTGCCTGATTGCCCCTAACCGCTTCTGCCTGCCAGCCTGATCACCCCCTAACCACACCCCTGTCAGCCTGATTGATGCCTAACTGCTCCCCTGCTGGCCCGATTGCCCCTAACTACTCCCCTGCCGGCCTGGTCACCCCTAACTGCCCTCCCCTGCAGGGCTGGTTCCCCCCAACTGCCCTCCCCTGCAGGCCTGATCACCCCCAACTGCCCTCCCCTGTTGGCCATCTTGTGGTGGCCATATTGTGTGTTGGAGTGATGGTCAATTTGCATATTACTCTTTTATTAGATAGGATACTACTAATGAGATTTAGTAACTTTTTCTCAGGTAGTACCTTAATTTGGCTAATATGAATACTAGGTTGACAAAGATTTCTAAACTAAATAAAAATGTCCCAAAAGGAAATAGAATAACACAGAAAAAAAAATGACATGAAATACTTTTGGGTTTTGTTTTGTTTTGTTTTGTCTCAAAAATGTATTCCACTTACCTTGGATTTGATATCTCTGTGTAACACATGTTTCTTGTGAATGTGATTTACTCCAAGGCACATTTGTGTAAACCAATTAAGTATCTGTAAGACAAAAGCACACAAATCTGCAAGAATGCAAAAACTGGTTCATGTTAACCCAAAATTCCAAAGAATGGTCTCTAGGCCTTAGTTTTACATAATGTAAACATAGAACTCCTAAAAATCACATAGTTTGACTAAAATTCAGTGTTTGTGTTTTCTGCAGAAAGTCAGAAAAGCTGTGAGTCCATGTTTCATCATTTTATGTGTTATACAAATAGCAATTTATTTTAATAAAACTCCCTCTGTATTTTCCTGGTATTACAACCAAATAAAAGTTTTTTTAAATATATTTTTTATTGATTTCAGAGAGGAAGGGAGAGGGAGAAAGAAATAGAAACATCAGTGATGAGAGAGAACCACTGATTGGCTGCCTCTTGCACACCCCACACAGGGGATTGAGCCAGCAACCCGGATATATGCCCTGACTGGGAATCAAACCATGATCTCCTGGTTCAACCACTGAGCCATGTCGGCCAGGCTAAAAGTATTTCTTAAATACACATACGCCACTTATAAATGAATATGGTACAATTTTATAGTGTAATCATTACATCAGATTTTCATTCCTTTTTCAGAATATGTTTATATTAATATTAAAGAATTTAATTATATTATCAACAATCCTTTGAGGTCAGTATTCTGCTTATAAACCCCCAGTCAATAGCAGCCAGAATTTCCAGATGCCTACAATTAAATGTCAAACTAATTTTTTTTTTTTCTTTTTGCTATGGAGATTCAACCATTTGAAGCCAAGGTTGACTTCCTTTTATCGAACCATTATTTTTAACAAAACAACTTCTAAATAAAAATATTTACCAACAGTTTATAACATGTTATACCCTAAAACAAATTAAATCCCACTAAAGCTGTTTATTTCGTTTCCTTAGTCAATTCATTCAAATAATATTAGTATGCAATTTTCCATTAAAAAGACAGTAGTACTAGACTTAAGGAAATATGCTAAACTTTGGAAGGAAAAAGACTGAGAATAGGTACTCGCAAGAAACAGAAATGTGGACTTCACTTTTTTCATGACCTAGAAATACAAAATAAATCCATCCACCTTTAAAATTTAAATACAACAAAAATCAAAAATTTAAATATCTACAAAATATGACCAGTAATACAATTTTGAAAATGTTCTAAACATGCAAGTTTTATTCCTTGATATTTTATAAGCTTTTATTTTTTTACTTCCTAAAAGCATCTCAGGCAGCCACATTCTGACAACAGTAAGCACAGAAACAGAAATGAAGCCTTTCTAACTAGTGTGTCAAATAATCACAGATACCAATGCTTTCATTTTAACTCACACAGATTTTATGAGAAAAGTTGCTTCTAAATCTTGAGGCAAACTATGTAAGTCAGTCTCTTACCATATCTTCAGGAAACAACTTTCCTTTTTGATGTTTAATCTTTTGCATTAGGTCCCCTCCATCGCAATATTCCATCACAATATAGAGATGTCCTTCAGCTAAAGCAAATATAAGATTCTTTATGAAAGTGTGGTAGTCATGCACAAATTCAGACATGCACATATCTGGCGGGAATTCATATTTACCTTCAAATGACTCTTTAAAGGCAACAATATTGGGGTGTTTCATTTTGGCTAACAGAACAGCCTCCTTCCTAGAATTCTGTGTATCAGAGAAAGACTAGAAGAATATTTTAAATAAGTATAAATGTAATACTTCATTTGAAAGTAGACAGCTTCACAATAATACAGAGTTCATATGACATTTCTTTTTTTTTTTCCCCTTGGGGTTGGGGGTGGGGGGCAGTGAAGGATTAAAGAAGACAGACAAGAGAATAAAGCTGGGGCTAGGTGGGACACTGCTCTTGGATGGAGAGACAGTGCCCTGACATTTCAATGCCAAACACAGTTTTACAGGACTGTCCTTTCACCCACGTGAAGTTTATAAAACTCTAAGAGACAACATGATTTTTCAAGTATGGCTATATTTTGCATGCTTAAGCTGATATATCCTTACAAGTACAGAATATAAACTAGCTTTAACATCAGTCTAAGTATAAGCTGATTTTGAGAGCCAGTGCCATTAACAATAATAGTATATCCTTAAAGCAAAATCAGAGATTTTGTGTCTTAATAGTCTGCATTACTTTGTCCACTGGCCCAGATAAAAAAGAATAGTCTGGTGTATTACTACAGCACAGATGGAGAAAGACCACATGCAAAGAAAGTTTCCAAGACTGCTTATCCCCTGACTTACTCTATGAGGATGACTTACCTTACAATTAAGAAATAAGGATCCTCACACCAGCAACATCGGCACCAACTGGTAATTTGTTAAAAATGAAAATTCACAGACCCAACCAGACCTCCTCAAGCAGAAACTAGGGGTACGGGGAGGAGGGTGAAGCCCAGCAATTGATGTTTTAACAAACCCTCCGGGTGATTCTGATGCCTATTCAAGTTTGAGAATCACGAAACAAGGTCAAGAATGCAGTGAGGAGGCAATAGCACTTTGGGATTTTATTTTAAAAAAATTTCTTTTTCAAAAATGGATCAAAACAGTATTAAGCAGGCTCCATGGCATGGATTCTTTCATGTGCAACTATGATGCATAGTGATAAATAGTGATACCAGTAGATATCACATTCATCATCATACAGGGAAATAAAACCTATAAAGTGAACAGGTTCCCTGTTACCAAAGGTTAGCATTTTAGGTCTTTGCTTGTCATTGTATTTTTATGTTCCTTTTTCATCAATATTGCACCTGGGTAGTTTTTGACAAAGACTCCCTACACCCTTAGGTATACAAAATTGGAAATTATTACAAATTATTCTCATTGAGATAAACAGCAATTGTCACTTTTGACTATTTTTCTCCCTTTTGTTAATTACAATATCCTAAGAACCATATAAAGTATATCAAGACCTTGTAAAGCTAGTGAGTAAAGAAACCCATAACATCTGATGCACTGAGCAGCAACTCCATGTTAAATCTCCAGAACTTGTTCTCTAATACAAATTGCTTGTACACTTTCAACATGAGCTAATTTTTTTAGCAGTGACCTTGGGAAGCCTTATTTCCTTCATGGCAAACATCCGATTACTGCTTTCCTGCTGAACCAAAAGGGCTCTGCCGAAGGAGCCCTCCCCGATCACTCTCAGGGCTGTGTAGCCATCCACGCTGGGCACCCCTACGCAGCCCGGCTCCATTCTCGCAGTCTCCACAGGTTCTCCCAAACTATATTCAAAAACAGAAACAGCTGAGAATTACACTTATTATCAAAAGGCAGAATTAATTCAAAGTAGCTCTAATCACAAGACAGGACAATAGCAACTTATTCCTTTATTCTTTCAACAGTTTGATATCGAGCACCTGCACCAGCTTTTATAATCCTGCGTAAATCTCTCATCATTCCTGCCCTCACAGACACCCAGTGCAGATGGGACCACAGATCTCAACAAATGTAGGGTAGTGAGTCTTACAGATAGAGCTACTCTGGCATCCAGCAGAAATATCCAGGCGAAAAGTTAGAAAAATGATATTTAAGCTAAAGCCTGAAGGATGAATGTAAGCTGGCTAGGCAACGAGGGGGGAAAGAGTGATGGAGGGAATCACATATTTAGGAGCAAGAGCTTGTGTTCAGTTCAAAGAATTGAAAGAGGACTGTGCCAGGCTGGTAAAGCAGATAGGGCCTGTCTGAAGGCCATTGTAAGCCAAGCTCAGGTTGCTGGATTTCATCCTTGGGGTAATTAATAGGTTGTCTCCGAAGGGTTTTAACCAAGACAGCAATATGATCCTATCTGCATATTAATACAATCGCTCGCTCTGGCTGCAGAGAGAATAGACTACGGGAGGGGGGGGGGCGCAGGAGGGCCAGAGTGGAGACTCCAATAGAAAGGTAGGGAAATGATGACGGAATGGAATAGGACGGTGGCAATGGATATAAAGAAAATGGGAAGGAAATGTGTAGAAAGAATTGACAAGATTTCTGGTGACAGATTTAGGGACAAGCAGGGAGAAGGGGACAAGGGAGACTCCCAGTTTCCTGGTGTAAACTGAATAAATGATGGTATCATTCCCCGAAAAAGAGGAAAGTCAGAATGGCTGTGTGCATGGCTTGTTGATTTTTCTGGCCGAGGGAATGTGACAGGGATGTGGAAAGGCATGTTGATTTGGAGATGCCTGGCACTAACAAGAGATATTAAACAGTCTTTGAACTCAGTCCCCCCTTCTGTACTTCCAAGATAAAGCAGCTAAGTTGTATTGCTTAATATGTAAGAGAGAATGAATAGAAAATTCCTAATACTTTGGTACAATAGGAGGCCCCAAATAAAGGGCCGCTATTATTATCATCATTGAAACCTTAGAAAGGTGATCCTTTTTTTTATTACAGAAAAAAACACTGGATGAGTTTACTTACTTTTCAGAAAGCTTACTTGTAGTGGTTTATTTGTTTTTAAATCACACCACAAGGAATTATGAGGCACAGAGGGCAAGGCAGGTAAAGCAAAAATCACTAAGCAAAAACTAACAGTGATGTGGAAATGCCAGAAGCGGGATCACCGGGGAGACACAGGTGAGTTGAGAAGGTGCGCGCGGGGTGACCGCACCATGGAGACCAGGCATTCAGTTCACCCGCGACCCAATCCGGGCTCCCGGGCGCCACGCTCCGGGGCGGCCCCCACCGCGCCCCTGGGGTGGGGGCGGAGCTGCGGCCGGCGGCCTGCCCGGAGGCGTCCAGCGTCTGGAGCGCGACCCCCGCTCGCCTCCACCTCGTGTGGGCGCCGCCCGCGCCCCGGACCCCACGCGGGGACCACCCGCCCGGCCCTCGCCCCAGAGGCGGCCAGCACGACCAGACCGCTCACCCGCTCCTCCGACCACCTCGGCTCCTCCGCCCCCGCGACCGGCGCTTCCGGGGCGGCGCCCATTGCCGGCCTGGGAGCTTCCCGGGTCTGGCGGGAGGCGCTGGTCTCGGAGGAGGCGGGGCCAGGAAAGGCGCGTTTTGACACTGGTTTCATGTGGCTCTAGAACAGGAAAAGTGCCCCCCAGTAACTTCAGTTTGTCTCCAGTTTAAGGGAACAGCCCGTGTAGATAAATTGCAGGGGCACAGCACTCAGCTCCAGGGCTGTGACCTCCGGCTGAACAGTGCCCCCCAGAGATGCCCACATCCCACTCCTTGGAATCTGTGCATGCGTTAAGTTACATGGCAAAGGGGAATTAAACTTGCAGATAGAATTAAAATTGACGACCAGCTAACTTTAAAATGTGGAGATTATTTTGGATTATCCTGGTGAGCCCGATGTAATCTCAAGGACCCTAAAAAAGGGGGCCACATACTAAACCTGACAAGCTCAGAGACGGAAAGTGACTACATAGGATGGTTTCAACATAAAGATTGGTAACTAAGAGTGAGTCATGGTGGATAGGCACATCCTAAGCCTGTAGCTTCCTTGACAAAGGTCAGTCTTTACCGTAAGTAAACCTGTCTATTGTCTTTTTGCATCTAAGATAACATACCCTTAGAGTGTCAGAATAATCCCCTTTTTTTGGACTCCTCGGGGTACACCCACTGCACTAGAGCATGAGGCCACAGAACCCCTCACTGTTATCCTGAGGCCCCAATTCTATCTGTATGCGCTGTAAATGCTAATTGTTAACTATCCTATACCCACTAATGTAAAAGAAGTATTTGTCTCTCCGTTTTACTTTTCAATCTGAGAGATTTTCCCGCTTTGCTTTCTACTGCCTCTCTAATTTACCACCAATGAATTTCATAAAAAGGGTTATATAACCCTTTTTACATCTCCTGATTTTATTCTAAAGTATAAAACTGCTGCAAAACTGCCATTTTCTGGAGCATTTTCTCAATCCATTGAGATTTTGCTTCCTGACAATGTTATCAGTTGGCTCAAACTCATAAAAATTTTCTACAGGTCTGGACATTTCTTATGTTGACAAGTGAAAGAGATGGGCACAAGAGGAGGTCAGAATCAGAATGACATTTGAAGATGCAGGTGGCTTCAAGAAGCTGGAAAAGGACAGGAAACAAATTTCCCCCTTGAGCTTCCAGAAGAAACATAATCCTGTTGATACCTTGACTTTAGTCCAGTGAGATCTATTCCAGACTGCAGACCACCAAAAGACAATAAATTTATTTTGTTTTAAGCCACTAAGTTTGTGTTAATTTGTTACAGCAGCAATCAGAATCTAATACAGCAAGAAACTAATCCTCACACAGCCCCATTAGGTACCTAGGAAGAAACTAGGGAGGGCTATAAGGTCAGGCTTAATTATGCTAGGAGGGCTCTGCCCTCCAAGCTGGGACTTGCTTGTGGCCCTGCCACAGGTCAGCCCGAGGCTTGACCCTAGAGTAGTGGTTCTCAACCTTGGCTGCACATTAGAATCACCTGGGAATCTTTTTAAAATCCTGATTTCTGGGCCTCATCCTCCGGAAATTCTATTTCTTTGTTACTAATGTTGTGGCCCCACCCCATAACAAAGAAACAGAATTTCTGGAGGATGAGACCCAGAAATCAGGATTTTAAAAAGATTCCCAGGTGATTCTAATGTGCAGCCAAGGTTGAGAACCACTGCCCTAGAGCTGCTCCCTACACAGGTTATGAGAGTATTTTATTAGTGGGGAAATTGTAGATATAATTATATGTTGAGGGATAATAAATATATTTATATATATATATATATTAGAGGCCCAGTGCACAAAATTCAGGCACAGATAGGGTCCCTAGCAGCTGCCGGCCAGGGCCTTCCTTCGTTCTGTGTCGCCCATGGTGGTTAGCACAACTCATAGTGAGCGATCGAATTCCCAGTCAAACTCCTGAGGGAACACTTGGCTTATTAGTCTTTTATATATATAGATATTTTAGTGGGTACCCTTAATATTTTGAAAGGTAAGAGTATACAATTTGAGGAATAATTTACATGTAATAAAATTCATCCATTTTAACTGTACATGTCAATTTTGGCCATGTATACCCACAATTAAGATATAGAACATTTCCATTACTCCCAAACTTCCCCATACACTGGCCCCAGGCAACTACTCATCTCCTTTGTCAATATAAATTTAGTGTTTTTTTAACTGATTTTAGAGAGAGAGAGAAACATTGATCAGCTGCCTCTCATATATGCCCTGACTAGCAATTGGACCTGCAATCTATGTATGTATCCTGACCAGGAATCAAATAGAGAACTTTTGGTTTACAGGACCACCAACTAAGCCACACCAGCCAGGGATATCAATGTAGTTTTATCTTTTTACATAAATGGAATCATAAAGTATTTAATTTTTTGGTCTGGCTTTTTTTTACTTAGTATGTTGGATTTTTAAAAATTTTTTTTAATTGATTTCAGAGAGGAAGAGAGAGAGAGAGAGAGAGAGAGAGAGAGAGAGAGAGAGAGAGAGAGAAACATCAATGATTAGAGAGAATCATCAATTGGCTGCCTCCTGCATGCCCACACTGGGGATCAATCCTACAACCTGGGCATAGGCCCTGACCAGGAATCAAATCGTGACCTCCTGGTTCATAGGTCGACACTCAACCACTGAGCCACTGCTTAGTATGTTTTTGAAATTCATTCAGATTGTGTTTATCAGTAGTTCATTCCTTTTGCTTAATTTCCAATTTCTTTTGCTTAATATCCAGTGTGGATATAGTACACAATGTTTTTTTATTCACCAGTTGATGGACTTTTGAATTGCTTCCAGTTTTTGGCTAATATGAATAATACTATGAACATCTTTGTTTATAATCTTTGTTGGGGAATATTTTTATTTCTCCTGATACTTAGGTATGGAATTGCTTATGTTTTATATTTTTAATATTTAAACCCCTAGTACTTAATAGACAATGAGAGTAAACATGAATTTCTGTAGCCTGCTCCCAAACATGACAGGCTCATTAGTATCTGACACCTCTCCTGTTGAATTCATTAGACTATCTTCATTTCACATAATTGTTTTGTAATCTATAATTATGTAGACTTCAATTTTATTTTATTTGATATGACTGTATTTTTTTAATTTTTATTGTTGAGTATTACAGGTGTTCCCCTCTTTTTCCCCTATTGCCCCCCTCAACCGTTCCCACCCCACCGCAAGCCTTCACCACCCTATTATCTGTGTCCATAAGTAATGCACATATGCATATAAATTCTTTGGCTAATCTCTTCCTGCCCCCTCTC